GTTATTAAAACATTTTCGAAGAAACGTATTTTATTCATTTCACAATGTTTGGGATGTCATTGTTAATACAGAAACATAAGCATAAACAGAACTTACATTTATTTACACTAGTGATCTACATCTCTTTAAATCTCTCAGTGTAAAGTGACTTCATATAAACACCTGTGATATAAATAAACTGAGTGGGTCAGGTTGGGAAACCTGGTGAGTACATAGGGTTTTCAACCCACAATAATATAATTATTATGTTTAAACAATCAAACAATCAACCCAATTACCCATCCCCATTATCTTCTTTTAGTCTTCCCTAAAGATATTATCTCAAGGGTCATCTCCTATATCATAGTTACTTCTCATCTCCTTACATCGTATTTCCTTATATGATTGTTCCTACGAACTTTACCTAAGGATCATCGCCTACATTGCATAGACAATACTAATCCGGGGATTACTCCCTCAATATGTGTCTAGCAAGAGTTAGGGTATCATCGCATAGTTACGCAGCCACAACATCGCCTGGACTTGTAAATCATGATAAGGGTTAGTCTATCATCACATGAATACGTAGCCACAACATCGCCTGGACTCGTAATTCATAATAAGGGTTAGACTATCATCGCATGAATACGTAGTTACAACATCGTCTGAACTCGTAATTCATCACCTAGAGGTTACTAGCCTGCTGGTGTTCCCACGGGGTTGTCTATGATAGTCCGTGGTTGCCATTTATAGTCTGGTAGATGACTACATCTCCAAATTGTCGGACAAGGTTGTAGTATCCTACATCACCGATTCATAATCACCTATCTATCATCATCACCTTCCTATCATCACCTATCTCTCATTATTTTATTTCATCACCTACCAACTATTTCATCTACCCATGTTTTATCCCATCATATTTGTAGATATAAAATAACTATACAGTTTAAATCATTTAAAACATGTATAAGTCATTCATCCAGCGTAGACAACAAGTATTCAAATAATATGCACACATAGCACGTAATTTATATTAAAATACTTCATATCTATGTGTAAGATGAAAGGGACTATGCACTCACTGATAGGTGGTGACTCAACACTCGGACAACGCTTCGATACTCTCAACACAATTTCCTTCGATAAAACCTAGTATCAACACCACTAGGGTTTAGTCTAACGATAACCGCGACTAATTAATAGTATAGCTATTATTATTATTATTATTATATAAGCGTTAAATAACACTCAATATAACTCATAATAATAGCCCAAACAATTATTTTAAGGTCCTAATAATGTTACTATAATTAATTAGAAGCTATATTAAAACTAGCGTAGGCGTAGCTCACTTACAGCGAGTTTTTCGCAAAACCGGGCTTCGCTGGAGCAGCGTTTCCCGAGACAAAAGGCTCTTTTCTTGGAGCCATCGGGCGCTCCGGGGCTTCCGCCTCGTGCTAGGGAGTTACCCTAGGCTTTAGGGGGTTAGGGAGGCTTAGAGAGAGAGTTTAGAGAGAGAAAGAAGGGTTTGAAGGTGTGAGAATGAATGGAACCCGACACCTCTATTTATATGGGAGAAATATGATGGACTCATCGAGTCTGAGTCATGACTCGTCGAGTTGGTCCATGTGGTGGCCTTCTGGTGGTGCCACGTGTGCAATTCTGGTGGTGCCACGTCACCCCCTATCGCGTATCAGCCTTCAAACTTAGAAAAATCATAACTTTTGCATACGAGCTTCGTTTTTGACGTTCTTTATATCCACGCGTAGGTAAAATCAAGATCTACAACTTTAGTTTAGACTCCGTCTGCTAATTCTTGACCGATCTCAAATTTAATAGTAGGAGGCGTTTAGACTGTTAAATGACCGTGAAGAATTCATAACTCCTTCATACGGACTCTGTTTTCGTCTGTGTTTTTACCGTTGAGTTCCTATTAATGAGATATTAAACTCTCATTTAGGTTGCGTAAGCCAAAAACCGCTCGAACTAAAATTCGAGTTTCGGGCTGTACACTGCTAAGCCAAATCTTAGAAAAATCATAACTTCCTCATACGATGTCAGATTTGGGCGTTCTTTTTATCGACGCTCTTAGTTTAACATATTCTACGAATTTCATTTAGATCACTAAGGCTAAAAAGTCTTATATCGTAAATTCACTATTTACGTCTCCCGGTGCCGTGCCGGTTTTGCCGTAAAACTTCGGCGGGCCATAAATTCTTCGTTATAACTCGGATTTCGGCGTTCTTTATATGTATGGAAAGCTTGTGACATATTCTACAACTTAATTAAGATTATTTATTCTAAATAATCTTTTGTCGAAAAGTCATTTTTGACCCCTATTGCCTCTAAATTGACTAGCCCGGATTTGCGGGCGTTACAAACGCCCTGAGTGATGAAAGACAAAGTTCCCTTTTATTCTTTGGGCCAACTATCTTTTCCCACGATACCCAAGCAATTTTAAACTTGTTGTCACACCCGCCCCATAAGAACTGCCTACGAATCTTTTCAAGAAGGTCAAAAACTCCCACCGGGGCCACGAATAAAGAGAAATAATACGACGGTAGACTACCAATGACTGCTTTAGCTAAGGTTAATGTCCCTTCAAAGGAAAGTGCTTTCGATTTCCAAGGCGAGAGTTTAGAGTAAAAACGATCAATTATAGGCTTCCAATGCTTCTTTACCTTCATGTTCGCACCTACCGAGACCCCCAGGTATATGAAGGGTAGTGACGCTGGTTGACATCCCAAGGGAGCAGCCCATCGAGAAACCTTAGACATGTCAACTCCGACACCAAATACCCTGGATTTGTTAAAGTTTACCTTTAACCCTGACGCCACCTGAATGCATCTTAACACCCTTGCTAAGTTTTTTATGTTGCTTTGATTCCACTCACCCACAAAAATGGTGTCCTCGGCATAGAACAGGTGGGAGATTGAGATTTCTGAATGTGGTATTTTTATGCCTTGAAAAAGATCCTTTTGGCAAGCTGCATTCATCGTAACATTTAATCCCTCCATGGCGATTATAAATAAGAATGGTGACAGAGGGTCACCCTACCGTACACCTTCTTCCATTCCAAATTCCACCGTTGGAGATCCATTTATAAGTACTTAGAGTCTAGCTGATTGGAGGCATCCCTTGATCCACATATGCCATTTATCTCCATATCCCATTTGAATAAGTATTGATTCAAGGTACTCCCAATTAACGGAGTCAAAAGCTTTCTCTAGATCCACCTTGAAAAGTACAATCTGTTTTTTAACCTTCTTGGCCGAGACACATAACTCGTTTACAATCAGCGGTCCATCAAGGATATTACGTCCCTTCACGAAAGTCGCTTGAATATCTCCAATGTTCTTGCCAATCACCATACTGAGTCTGTTAGCTAAGGTCTTGGAGGTTATTTTGTATAGAGAGCCAATTAAGCTAATTGGCCTGTAATCACCAATGTGCAGTGGGTCTTTTATCTTTGGCACGAGAGTGATGAAGGACAAGTTGCAACCCCGATCCAACGTTCCATATTTCTCAAAAATATTTAACAAATTCCATAATGTCACCCTTCAATACATCCCAATATTTTTTTATAAACTTAAAGGTGAATCCATCTGGGCTAGGAGCCTTATCCCCTCCGAGTCGAGCATGCTAAATTCACTGCTGATAAGTTTTGTCCTGGAAGGCCACTTTTCTTGAATTTTTTTTCTTATAGAACGATAGAACTTCATCTTTAATTGCTGCCACATTTGTGTTTCAAGAACCATTGATAATCAACCCATGAATGTGGTTCTTGTTTTTCTTGTTGTTTACATACCCATGGAAAAAACGGGTATTTTCATCTCCATCGACTGTCCATCGTATTCTAGCCTTTTGTTTTAGATCAAGAACAACCAATTTTTCAAGTTTGGTTATCCTTTGAACACCAAGTCTCCTTTCCTATAATTCCAAAACTGATAGCAGTTTAATTTCAGTAGCTATATCAAGTTCATGTACCCTGTGTTTATGCTTCAACAATTCTCCCATCTCCTTAGGGTGATCCTTTGCTCTCCACTTCTTGATTTCATTTTTTAAGAATCAAAATTTGGCAGCAAGGTAAGCATCCGGGTTGCCATATCCTTTGAATTTCTACCACGGTTCTTTGATGATTTGCTCAAATCCATCTCTTTTCATCCACGAGTTGAAGAATCTAAACGGTGGTTTGCCAAAATCATCTTTGTTGGTCTGAAGGATGATGGGACAGTGATCTGAAGTCTCCCACGGAGCGGCTATGACTGACACAGAGGGGAATAGGCTTAGGAAATTATTGCACACAAGAAATCTATCAAGTTTGCTTATCTTGATGTCCGACTGGAAAAAATAGGTCAATCTGTGAACCCCCCCCCCCCCCCCCCAATTCTAGGTTCATGCAGACATTCTTTCTCAATGAATCGATTGAACCAGAAAGCTTCAGACCAATTGAACTGGGAATTAAATCTTTCACATTCCTTCCTTACGGTATTAAAGTCTCCAAAAATAATCCAGGTTCCAGCTTTAGTGGATTTAATCCGTCCTAGGTCTTCCCAGAGCTTCTTTTTGTTTTGTGGCTCATGAGGGCCATACATATTTGCAAAAATAAATTGACCTTGAACACCCGACCACATACCAATTGCGATTAGGAAATACCTCACCTTTATGACTTCATCGACCTGGAATAACTTGGAGTACCAAACACTGAGTAATCCCCCCGATCTTCCTGTGGAAGGTGTTGCCGTAAATCTGAATTCTCCATTATACCAACAACCAGATACGTCTATGTTATTTTCATCATAAAGTTGTGTTTCCTGCACACCTAGGAACATTGTGCGATACTTCATTGTTAACCTTCTCACCCATGAAACCTTATACTCTTCTCTTATTCCCCTTACATTTAGACTTAGACAATTCATCATGGTTTGTTTATCTCTACATTTACTCCCATTGTTTCGAGTGGAACTGGATTAGTTGAGTCAATCTCAAAACCCAGTTCCTTACCAACCTCATCCGTTTTATCCACTTCCACAGAAAGAGACATGGAGCACGAAGGTGAGCCTTTGTGGAGAGCCACAGGGGTTTTTATTAAGATCGATGTTGGTGGGGACATGGTCAATTCCAACAATATTCCTTTCTTGGGACGCCATGGCTGAAGGAGAAGTGTGCTCTGTTTCCGTTAGATCTATCATCTGGGATATTGAGTTAAGGGAGAAGTTCGACCCGGAAATATCATATCGTTTTCGTTTGCCTAATGACCCGGGGATGGTTTGTTTTTGGGCTGGGGTGTATGATGATCCATCAATATTGGGGGAAGGGAAGGGCCCAAAGCACCCATATGGGAGCTCGTTTACTAAGTTATTCATGTGGGCCTTTGGAGGGGGAGTGGTAATTACTTCGGTGGACCTAATCATATCTTCACGAATCTGGGGATAAGGGAATATACCATTACCAATTATTCCCGAGTGATTCGTATGTGATGATCCTTCTGACTCGCTAGGAAATGTCACCGGTCGTTGAGGGCTCCCAGATGTCTCTTGGTCTACTCTAATCGGCACCGTCGATTCCATCGGTATACCAGCAAATTTTTTCATCTCTGGCGATCTTTCACCCTACAATGGTTCCTCCCTTACAACTGAAAATTCCTTATGTTTGAATATCAGACTTATTTCTCCTTCCTCCATTTCGCCGCCGTCTTCATGCATCCATGTATCCGAGACTCCCTCCTCGTCTTCATTTTCTTCATCAGTTGCATCTACTTCACTTAGTTCATCTTTCTCATAATAATCTTCATTTTGATCAAACTTAAAAGGAAACCAATCTTCATCGAATTCAATAATACCAAGCTTTATAAACTTGCCTTCACATGATACAAGGATCTCGTCATTTATTCTCGTCCTTCTTTTAGTAAGAATTCTGATTTTACACAGGAGAGATCCACCCGGTTAGGAAGTTCGTCAAATGGTGCAATTGTGACCCCGTATCCTTCTGTTATTTTTGAGAAGTTACGTTCCCCCCATAGATGTAAAGGAAGACCAACAATCCTAATCCATGCAACCCTGTCAAATTCATGATCCATCTTCTCTGCCCAATCAACCCATTTCAAATGTTCTTGCCATCGTTTCTTATTGTCTTTGAACTCCTTTGCAGTGACAGAGTCATTGAACTGCAATAGGACTTTCAACCCCCGCACGTACTTGATCTCCATGAGAATATCATTTCGAAATGACAATAGCTTGGGTATGTGTTCCAAGTGATCTAACGACATTGCCTCACCAATGAGAGACGTCTTCCATAACCAGTTTTGTGTATCTCTACTTAGTGCAATATGTAGGGCTATTGGAGGCGGTGACGGGGGTGCAGTATCAGTATGCATTTTCTTACCAAGAACTTCTGCAAACGTCCTATGGTCCTTTGATCTCCCCCACACCGCATGTGTGGATTGTTTATTAGTTAAGGAGCCATTATGTCTCCCAATAGGGTTACTTTTGATGTTCGTTGCCATGGACGGGAGCTCTTTTCTCTTATGTAATGCCAGGTTCACCTCCAGTCTTGTTCCTCTAACCATTGTGCCATCGAGTCTATTCTCCATATGTTTTACATTCTTCACATCTGCAAACCTGACGAAGGCATAGTATCTTCCATTTTTTTCCTTTTCTTAACCCCATGAACACATCCATCAATCTACCTAATTGGATGAACGCATCGTAGATCTCCCTCTTTATGGCTTCCTTTGGGACATTTGTGATAAAGAAAGTAGTTATCTCGCTGCCCAATTTCTCAGTTGTTCTTCTCCTGCGAACTTCCTTCCACTCTTGCTCTCCCTTCATGTTTTGATGTTAGAGTCATTATTTTTTGTTTTATAGACATTTAGTACCTATTGTCTTTATTGTTTTTATTCTTTTATGCAAAATACACAATAATGTTGTTGATTTTGTCCATATTTAGTCATTTCACCTGCTGATCCAAATTTTCTTGGACAAATTAGAAATTACAGGTTTTGAAGAAACTATTTTTTTAGATGTGGAAATTATGTGGCTAATATCAAGGCATATATCTCTTACACCCTTTTTAGGGCCATACAAAGTTGCATCTCTCTTTTATCTAAATCAAGTTGCATGGAAACATATCGATACATAATTCGTCCTTAACTCTCTCTTAAATCCATATAACAGTACATCTTTGTTTTTTTATTTCCCCTTCATGCAAGTCCCTTCCTTCTTGAAACAAGCATAAATGTTAAAGAACACATGCATGCTCTGGTGTCTTTCCAACCAATTAGCTTTTGGACTTTTTCTTGTTTGGTTTTCAATTTTGACTTTATGTTGTGACTATCAGAAGAAAAATGGAAACATACACATACATTGTGTGTTGTGCGCATTGATCAACTCATCACATTCGTTGATCTATGCACTGACATGTTTCGCAGCGAAACACATGTCCTCTCGCTCCTTCTCATTTTCTAGTCCACCATCTGTTGTGTATCCTCGCATCTGTGATAGACCTTCTGTCAGCATCAAACACCTCCCTACAGCATGTTCTTCTTTCACTAACATAGCCTTTCCATGAGTCGGCTTTCTCACTTCTCCATCCTCTGAATCTGTGGACCATACTTGCACTCCACCAAACTCATCATAGTCACCTGTATCTTGTACAACCAAAGCATTCATGGTATTATTGTTAGCTGTTGATTTCCTCTTCTTGATCTCCTCCAATCATCTTAGGAGATTCGCTTCCTCATCATCTTCATCGACCTTTTCAAACTTTTTCTTTAACATGTAGTCTTTGGCAAAGTGATTCTTGCCTCCACAATAATGGTAATCAAAGACTGAGTTACCACCAATCTTCGACTCCTTGTTGGATTCTTCTGACTTTGAACCCATCTTCGGTTCCTCCTTTGCTATTTTAGAACCATAACTTCCTTGCCATTTTCGGTTCTTAATGGCTGGGAACTTTCTTTTGATAAACTTTCTTGGATTTGAAACCATAAGGGCATACTCTTCACCCATTAGATCATAGTCAGCAAGATCCAATTCTTCTTCTTCTTCTTCTTCAACAACACTTTTTCCTTTAGAAACAAGAGCTAATGACCCCAAACTAGAAACCACGTTCGTTTCCTTTGACACAACACTTTCATGGGACTTCAGAATTCCCACCAGTTTCACCAAAGATATGATTTGAACTGTTCGTGTACCTTCACTGTGGACACAACTGCCGTCCATTCGGGTTTAAGACCGTTCATGAAAGTGACTTTTTGCTCAATAACTTTCCTTTCGATCCCGTGCTTTATCATCTTACTAAGAAAATGTTTAAATCGATCAAAGGCTTGAATGATTTGCTCTTCGGGTTATCGTTTGAAATCACCAAACTCTGAAAGCAGCAAGGTTTGAATCGAATGTTCTAGATCCTCATCAAAAGAATACAATTCTTTCAGCCTTTCCCATATCTCTTTTGCTGTTGCACATGAATTCACCAATAGAAACGTGTCCGGTTGTAGAGCAAACGTAATCATTCTTAAGGCTTTGATGTTGCACTGAAACTTCTCCTTCTCATCTTAAGGAATATCTTTTACATCATTCACGAGTTGATTGTACTCCCTTTGAGTTTTGACTATCTTTGAAGTGCTTGAGTGAGCAAACGGACCAACTGTGATTGCTTCTGAGATCAATTATCCATTATCCTCTGAGCCGATTACATAATATTCGAAGTGGTGCGTCCAGACTTCATAATCCTGAGTGTATGAGATTGGAATCCTTGTTGTAGATCTAATATTGTTGGAGATGTGGATTGGATTGGTTTGCGAGTCATCCATAGACAATGCAATGATGTTTGATCGATGACCTGTTTAAGATCAGACTTGTAATTTAACGTTAGAGTGAGATCGACAATTAATGAGATACGCCAATTTGGAATGACGGCTCAATTAATATCAATCAATGCAGAAAAAACCCTAATAATTTCTTCAACAAAAGAGATGTGTATGAATCACACAGCCTCCTGCTCTGATACCAATTGATGAGAATTAATCTCTTGATCGTTTAGATATTTTACAGGTATATTAATCAAGAACAAAAGAAATCAATCACAAGAAGAATAATAACACAGTATGGAATCAATATGAAGCTTATGATTCAAATATAGTCACGCCTTAGTAGAGCTCGATCCAGAACTTCCACTGTAGAGGCGAGCTAGGGTTTACAATACTTTTGATAAGAAAAATAATGAAATCGTTTTCTGCCAAGGATGCATGCATGCACCTTAAATACAAAACCCTAGAGCAAAACCATGCACGGTTGGATAGGCCCAAACCGGCTGCAAAACTGGCCTAAGGACCGAGCCCATGACGCAACACTTATACAACCCAACATTCTTCTTTATTACGTCATATATGTTACAATTGTTGATGCGAACTATTACATCATCGCATTAAATGCTTAGCCTCGAAACACAGGGTTTACATCATACACATAACAATCACCTTTAATTACCCTTCCATACTTATAACCCCTTTTAGGGTCAACTCTGGTCAAAGGTCAAAGTTGAAGGTCAACACTCTGGTCAAATTCAACCTTCGGGTGCAAGTCAACCTTCTGGTTGACTCAACTCGCCGAGTTGGTCCATCAACTCGTTGAGTTCCCGGGTCCATAAAACTCTTGATTCTTGATCCTGCTCGTTGAGTTCTTCTACAAACTCGTCGAATTCCGCTTCATATAAGTCGGGGCATTTCACTCACAACTCGCCGAGTTCATCCTTGAACTTGTCAAGTTCCTCTTCATATCAGTTAGGACATTTTTTTCTTAACTCGCCGAGTTCATCGTTGTACTCGTCGAGTTCTTTGATCTTCAAATCCATAAACATGTCCAACTCGTTGAGTCATCTTCTAGACTCAATGAATTTTCTTAGTAACAACAAAGGTTGGGGGACCACGACCCAACTCGCTGAGTCGTATGAACTACTCATCGAGTCCCCCAAAGTCCAAATCTGTCCAGTCGTTTCTAGTTGGGTTAAAGGCTTGCAAACCATAGATCTGGCCTCTTAGGGTGGATATAACACGTAAAGTTACAGATTTTACATTAATGCATGGGTTATTTAGCTCAAAAACACTCTAAAAGTGGTTCATATGATGCATGGGACTCCCATGGCCATAAAGTTGGCACCTTTATGCCATGTAGTCCCTCAAAGACTCTGGATATGAACTTATTACCCCAAAACATGCTTGCATCCATGAATGGTTCCATAATATGCTCCAAATGGCCCTAAACTACACCGTGAAGAGATCTAGTAAACAAATAGCCAAGGTACAAAATTTATACCTCAAATGATCTGTAAATGAAGCACAAACTCTGGATATACTTGCTTCCTCTAGAACCCCCAAGATACCTCTCCCTCTTCAAGCTTCAAAATCACCAAGATCAGACAACAATGGATCAAGAAAAATTAAAATGGGCCATGGTTTCGTGAATAAGGTTTGAAGGTGATAAAGGCTGTGGTTGAGGCCAGATAAAGTGTTTAAATAGGGTGAAAACCCTAAAAATTAGGGTTTCACTTTGGCAACCCTACTCGTCAAGTTGAGGCTCTTAACTCATCGAGTAGACTTCAAGTCCCGCATATTCCTTCTCGACGACTCCCTTAAAAATGAGTAATTCATAATTAAAAATACATACCAGTAACCGGGCGTTATATTTCCTTTGTAGTTTTGTTTAGGAGGACCTTTCCTATTCTTTCCCTTTCCATGTCCAATAGCCAGAACAGGAGCACTAGTAGGAGTGGAGGGTAAACCTTTTCCCTTCATTCCTGCTTCAGCTTTCTGTAGTAGGTTGTGAAATATAGCCAATGTGGTCTCAGTGTTGTTCAAATGATAAGTCAGAATGAATTGATCATAACAACTTGGTAAGGAATTTAGGACTATATCAATAGCTAACTCCTCATCAAAGTGCAGATTTAGCTTAACAAGGCGTTCCACGTATCATTGCATTCTCTACACGTGGCTACAGATAGATTCTTCCTCTTTCATCTTACATGCCATGAGGGATTTTACTATTTTGAACTTATCTTGACGAGCACGCTTGTGGAAATTTTCCATAAGGTCCTTGTTCAACTCATAAGGCCAATAGTCGTCATAAAATCTATGCAACTCAGGGGTCATAGTGGCGACCATGATGCAAGAAACATTTGTTACATCATCCTAGTCTTTCTTCTAAGAGGCTAGTTCTTTAGGAATGGCCTTCTCTTTGTCCATTTAATTTAGTTCCTTCTCAGGGGCATACTCTTTATTCTCGAATTGAAGGTCATATTTATGTTGCACGTCCAGTCATTATAGTTGGTGCCATCTAATGTCAGCTTTGAGTAGATCGACAACAATGAGAAGTTATGGTGGTTAGAAGAGGAGGAAGAAGAGATACTGGCTGGATTAGACATCTATAAAAGAAGGTAGTTTTAGTTCGACAAGAATAATCCTTAATATAGTAAACCAAAATAAAATACGAAGGCTAGGATCTAACTATGTAATTCACAACTTAGAAAATGGATGTCGTAATGCGATTGTAAATTTTATAAAGGTAGGTAAATAATGATTTACCAATTCCACAAGAAAAGAAATGAAATGAAGTGAAATTCCTTGGTCTTTTGAGACTCATCGAAACTATTCAATGGAACATTTAATCTCAGATTTTGTTATGCTATTTGTATCTTGGATGCCGAGGATCACAAAGAAGATGTGAATAAACATGCAAATGTCCTTGGTAACCTCATTATCATTTATAATCCCAATTTATGTGCTAATAAACCACACACATTCCATCAACAATGATAATTTATGAGATACCCACTA